TTTATTTTATTTTTGGGACAGAGAGAGACAGAGCATGAACGGGGGAGGGGCAGAGAGAGAGGGAGACACAGAATCGGAAACAGGCTCCAGGCTCCGAGCCATCAGCCCAGAGCCCGACGCGGGGCTCGAACTCACGGACCACGAGATCGTGACCTGGCTGAAGTCGGACGCTTAACCGACTGCACCACCCAGGCGCCCCCAGAAGTTCTTTTTAAGACAGACACAGAACCTGGAAGCCACAAAGTAAAAGAAGGAGCAGTTTTTCCCACAGATACTTTCAAATGTTAGTGGAGCAAAAGACATTACAAAGTTGAAAGACAGACGACAGGCTAAGAGAGAATAATTGCAATACTTACTACAGACAAAAGTTAATACTGCTCATTCAGAAGCTCCCACAAAAAGACAATCCATTAGCAATATAAGGAGACAGCGTCAGACAAATCAAAGGAAAGGCTATCTAAGATTTTTTACAGCCACACACACATGCTTGAAACTATCTACATGACTGGTAATCAGGGAAATAACAACGAAAACAAAAAAGGAGATCTTTTTTCCCTATTACATCGGAAAAACTGTCAAAGGATTCATAATATCTAGCTTTGGAAAAAGAGTGAAAGAATCTCCCTCTGTTGCTTTTGACAGAAGTGCAAATTGGTAACAACCCTTTTGGACCATTATTTTCTTCTACCTATCAAACATTAAATGCCTAAACAACGACCCCGCAAGCTCCCTCCTCAGAGATTTATTCTAATAAATGTGCAATGCTTCGGGACGTATGTGTAAAAAGTTGGTTCATTTTGCAGGGTTATGTGGAGTAGGAGAAAAATCAGGATAAGCTAAATGTACATCAGGAGGAGGATAGTTAAATAAATAATGGTGCAGCCATAGTATGAAGTGCAATGAAGCTGTCAGGAAGAATACAGGAAGGCTGTACCTGACACGAGGCAAATCCACGCTGTGTCTCTGAGTAGAACGAGATGAGCTTGGAACAGTGGAGAGCCATGTTTCACTTTTATTTTAAAAATCCTGTGTGTGTTTATATATGTATGTTTGTATATAATTGGTCATGTGTATGTACATAACACTTATGTTTATGTGTGTGTGTAATATCACACATTATACACACACACACACACACACACGTGTGTGTGTATATTTGCAAATATATATATTCGGGCAAGTTGCCTAACTTTTTCTGTGCCTCAGTTTCTTCATTTGTAAAATAGAGATCTTAATTATATATTGATCTTGTACAGTGTGTGTGTGTGTGTGTGTGTGTGTGTGTGTGTATGCACACACACACTATGTGTGTTTGCATAGGTCTAGAGAAAGGTCTATGAGGATATATACATATACACCAAGCTTTTATGAGAGATTAGGAGTGAAAAAGGGACATTTAATTTTACTGTCGCACTTCTGTTTTTGAGGGGTATGAACAAATTTTGTAATTAAAACAATGAGCATTTTTAATAGGGACAAATGTGTGACTCTCCTCCATCCTTCCCCCTCCCCCCAAGCACGAGTCTCTCCATCCAGCCAAGTGGCCAGCTGGCACCGGGGGGGCAGAAAATACTCCACTGAGGCAGTCCATGCAGTGGGAATGAAATGCCCCTGAGTGAGGGTCTGAAAATTTTAATTAAGCCTGCTCCAGGGTCCCTGTCTGACATGCTGTGGGCCCTTGGCAAGGTCACTACCTCTCTGGGCCATGCCAGCGGTGTTCCCTGTGCTATTTGACTGAAACATTTCCCACCCTCTGATTCACAATTCAGTAGACAATTCCTGAACGAGGGAGTGGGTGTCTAGGGTCAGGACACAGGGACCCGGTCCCCTAGGCGCCTTACTTTCCAAGGGTCTCCAAGGAGACCCCTGTACGTTGTATTTCCTCATTTCCTGAGAACCAAAGGGGAGCCTTGCAGGGAAGAATCGGGTGTCTTTCCCCTCCTCCTCCCCTGCCCACCCCTGAGATCCTACTGCAGAGAAAAGACGTGGGTAGGTATGGGGCCCAGGGGTCACATCTGGGAGTCCTGTGACCACAGGGTCTGTCCTCTCCTCTCTGCAGGATCGTGTGTGAGATGGGGGAGGCCAAGCCGAGCCAGCACGCAGGCTTCGTGGAGATCTGTGTGGCCGTGTGTCGGCCTGAGTTCATGGCCCGGTCCTCACAACTCTATTACTTCATGGTGAGTCCCAGCCATCGGCGACCTGACCAGCACGGGCTACAGACCTCGTGACCATGGTTGTTGCCCGGCTAGACCTCTGTGGGCAGACTCCAGGCTGCTTGTGGAAGTCTGTCCTGCAGTGTGAGAGCACAGCCCTCTAAATCTGAAAGGCTGGGTCCCAATCCAAACCTGCGGTGGCTGGCCCAGCCCCAGGGAAGCTGCTGTGGCTCCCAGGCCCAGGGCCCCCATCTGGCCCAGTGGCAGCGCGGCCAGGCTGGGGTTTGAGCCCTGGCTCTGCTGCCTACTCGCTGGGCAAACTTGGGTGAGTTCCTTAACCTTCCTGTGCCTCAGTGTCTTCATTTCTAAAACGGGGTGATAATATTTACATCTACCCCATGGTATTGTTACGAAAATTACACAAAATGGCTGTGTCACCTCTCTCATTTCTTGTATGGGTTCTGTGGCAGCCAGTGTTTCTACTATGGCCTGCCCTCTCCCTGTACACGGGCACCCTGTCATTTCTATCCCAGAATCCACATTCATTCTGCCTTCCCCCCTCACCAGCACCCCTTCCCATGACCTCCTTAACCCCACCCCAACCCCCACCTCACCAGCACCCCTTCCCATGACCTCCTTAACCCAACCCCCACCTCACCAGCACCCCATCTCATGACCTTCTTTACCCAACCCCCACTTCACCAACACCCAGTCCCATGACCTCCTTAACCCCACCCCAATCCCCACCTCACCTGCATCCCTCCCCCACCTTCCTTTCCCAGGGCTTGTCTCCAGACCTCACCCTGACCTCCACATCCCCTCCAGCCAGGACCCTCCCTGGCCCTGCAGAGGCGGCCCCTGGTGAGGGGCTCTGCGGGCTTGGGGCTCTCGGGACCTCTCAGCCTTGTCATGTCCGGCAGGTGTGCGGGAGACATGGGCGTCTCTGTTGCCTCTCACGCTGCCTCATTTTCAAAGTTTTGCCATCCAGTTGATTCTCGGGTTAATGACGGCCGTGATGGGGTAGTTTCCTCATGATTCTAAGCTGCTTTTGGAAGCTGGAAGCCTGAAGTGATGGATGGGCATCAAATGCTCCAGAACAGTCCAGGGGAGCCCACTTTCCACCCTCCGCCCCTTCCTCCCTCCTCTTTCATCTGCCTCCCTCCCCCTCCTCCTTCTTTCTCCCTTCAGCTGACAACTCTTTAGCACTACCTGGCAGGATCCTTCTCATGAAATTGTTTGATAAATATTTGCTTAATTGGTTGAATTTCATAATTTAATTTGGTGGCCCCGGCTTGTGGGGGTTACAGTGATGACCCAGACCGGGCACAGCCCATCCCTCGGGGGCCTGAGGTCTAGAAGGAGAGGTATGGAGTACGTGCAGATGGGAATGGAGACGTGTGCATCAGACGCCCCTCCAGCCGGCGCCTGCGCTCTCTGCTCCCCCTCTACTCCTGAAAACCTCCCCTCCTTCTAAACACAGTTGGCTCTCACTGCACACGCAGGAGCTCATGTGGAAGAACACGCGTGTGTAATGGATGGGTTTAATGGATGCGTAGGTTTACCTGGCTCTTTAGGATCTGTACCCCCACCTTCTTCTGAAAGGTTTTGAGGAAGTTGCCAAGGGAAACCCAACACACGTGAAGGCAATCAGCGATAAGTGTGTGTGTGTGTGTGTGTGTGTGCGTGTGTGTGTGTGTATGGAGAGAGGGCATCTATACCATACATTATCTGTATGTATATACCCAGAAGTTGTTAATCCAGCAGAGTCGAGATACTGAGAGGGAGACTCAGACAACTGAGGCAGAGACGGAGACAGCGCTCCCCAAGTGTTTAGAGGTGTGGCATGGATGCCAAACTTGGGCACAAAATCCAGCTCGGAAATTACCTGGCCAAAGCAAGCGCTGGTCAGCCAGTCACCTGCCCTGCAGTTTGTTTTATGTATTGTTTATTTTTTAGAGGGAGAGAGAAATAGAGGGCGCAAGTGAGCTAGGGGCAGAGAGAGAGAGAAGGAGAGAGAGAGACAGAGAGGGGGAGAGAATCCTCAATCCTCCAAGCCCTGCTTGTGAGCCACTCCACACCTTCTCCGAATACCCAGCCCACAGCACCCATGGAACCTGGCTTACTGGGGATTCCATGGCATCTGCCTGCATGACACTCCGTGTTACCTCTTGGAGCCCCTGCTCCCTCTGTCAGACCAGTAAGTCTTTGGAGATGAAACCCCGACTGTTTATTTCTTTGTTAGCCCCCATGGTGCTTAGACAGTTCTAAACCTTCCTACATGTTGGACTCTCCCAAGGAGCTTCAAACAAAATGCTCCAGAGCCCCCCTGAGCTAAATCACACACTACAGGTGGGGCACAAAACTCTCCGGGAGATTCCAACTCAGCCCAGCCTGAGGGCCACTGGCCTAGGAGAAACAATGTTTGTAGAACAGCTGCTGTGTGCCCGTTGATATCCGGTTCCAGGCTTAATTCTTACAAGGAGCCTATGTTGTAAACATTCAAAAGCCCCTTCGGCTCTCAGGTAAGGTCAGTCTTGCCTGCATGACAGTTTCTGCCCCAGAGCAGGATGTGGTTAGATGCAGGGCATCAAGGTGAGGCTTCATGGAAGAAACTGGATGGAAAGGCAGGATAGGATGTTCCGTGTGGATCTCGAGTAGTGGGAAGCTGTTCCTGGCATAAGATAGGAGTGCACCTAAAGATGGGAAAAGAAGGGAGGGAGAAGGAAGGGGGTTGATGGCAAGGGAAGAGGTTGGGACAGAAAGAGAAGTCAGTAAACAAAAGAGCTGTTGCCACAAGGCAAGAATGCACCGGCCCAGTGGGGCCCTGGGACTTGGCGGTTTGTGAGGGACTGTGCTGATGCCACGTGTCCACTGGGGAAGATGTTCAGGGAGGGGAATGATGCTGGGGAGCTCGGTCTCCTCCCCTGCCCCTCCTGTGCATTTAAGGGCCCAGTCATTGAGGCTACCCCCAGAACTCCTCAGGGTCCAGGGAGGGAATGAGGGGCAGAGGTTCCCATGAGTCTCAACTGAGAGGTGGGAAGAGACAGAGTGACCCTCTCTCCAGCATCTCGGAGCCCTCATAGCCTCCCCACACAGCTAGGCAGCTTGCAGGTGGCCCTACTTGGGCCCCACAGAGAAGCCCGTGACTCCTCTGGGGTCCTGGGACAGCTCGGGAACCCCTTCCCAGGGGTCCTCTGGAGACATGGGGCACGCGGGGGAGCCTCTTCTTCAGGGATGCCTCTCAGGACCTGGGGCATGCTGGGGAGCCCCCTTCCCTGTGCTGAGATTGGGAGTAAGGTTTGAGTCTGATTCAGTTTCCCTCCACAAATCAGGCCAGACTCTGATGTGTGGGTTTATTCACCCAAAAGCCAAAACCCGACCGCCAAGGCCAAGGGATCAGCATCCTTGGTCTCGTCACCCGTTCTGTCCCTAGAGATCTCCACGGAGGGAATCTTTCCCTTCCCTACCTCCATCCAGGAGCCAAGTGAAGGGGTGGCAAGTAATACAGAATTTGATTTCCCGTGCAAACCCGCCGTGAAATATTTATGAAGCATGGCTTGAATAATTAATAGTTTCTCACAACTTTAAAACATGTCTCAGTATCATCCACTCCTCACCCCCGCCCCCAGCCCGCCACTGCAGAGCCAACAAGGATTACTCCCTTCCACCCCTTCTAGAACCCCACCCACTGGCTGCCAGAGAGCCTCTTCTTCCCACGTTGCTGCCACCCCCATCTGTCTTAACCTGCCTGTTTTTTTACTTTATCTCCAGGCCCCCCCTTGCCTCGCACAGACAGCGCCCTCTTTCCCTTCCAGACAGTGGGACAAAGGCACCATGTGGGGGAGGTGACTGCAAGTTACAGAACCGGAAAACCGGCAGGCCCCTTTGAGATAACTATGTTTTGATCCAGCTCCCTGATTTTGTGATCAGAGAGGTTACATGGTTTGTCCAGAATCCCACAGCATATCTGGGCAGAGCTGTTCTCCACTCTTTCCACAGCCTCACCCCACCTGTGTCCCAGTCTCCATTTGAGCCAGCAGCAGCTCCAGAATGAGGGGTTCCTTAGCATTGTGGGTGCCAGGTGCTTGGGATCTGCAGGGACCCGGTGGGCAGATGGGCCCCACGTGTGGGCCGGACACTAGGCGGTGGGCAAGTGTCCCCACGGCCCCCCCCCGCATACCTGCCAGCCTCACTGGGGCTTCTCCCCTCCTCCCGAGGTGTTAGTGAGGCCTCTCCTGGGGAGGTCGCCTTCGGGCTGGGAGCCCAGTGGGTTCAACTTTTGGTGCAGAATTCTTTAAGGGGCAGGGGAAAGCGAAATCTTCATTTAAATGCAGATACGGGCTTCTCACCTGGGACTGAGGAAAGTTTTTTTCCATTAAAATGCTAATGAAAGAGCAGAGCACAACTCCAAATCCTCAGCTCACAGGTGCCCCCTCCCCATCCTCACTCCATCCCTGACCCTTCTTCACTCCTCCCCCTGGGTTTCCCTGGGGCCCTCACCACCCATCGCTCAGGCCTCTGAGCGTTTGGACAGCTCTCTTAACAGGCCCGTGGAAGGAACAGGTCACCTTCCCAGAAGCACCCGAGACTGGAGAGGTGGTGGAGAACCAGAGCTCTGGAGTCAGATCTCAGATGTGCCACTTTTTAGCTGTGTGACCTCGGGAACTTTACTTAACATCTCTGATTTTTTTCTGTAAAATAGGTAATAATACCCACCTTGTAGAATTGACTGAACAAATAAATTATATAGAGATGGATGAAGATATAAAGCGTGCCAGTTAAAACATCAGCACATAGCAGCTGTTACTACTGTTATGAATATAGAGGTGTAAGCTCTCAGGGTCCAGAACGTCGCTTTCCCACACAAGCGCAATAAAATCTTCATGGGCTCTTTGGGAGGCCACCGTTACTGAGGATTCCAGAAGGCAGCTCCGGGGAGCGGGGTGCTGCCTCTCTTCAGACCCTGCCCCAGTTGTGTCTCAGGCCAGATCCTTTCCTGCACAGACGCTGACTCTCTCGGACCTGAAGCCCAAACGGGGGCCCATGTCGGGGGGCACCCAAGTGACCATCACGGGCACCAACCTGAACGCGGGCAGCAATGTGGTGGTGATGTTCGGGAAGCAGCCTTGCCTCTTTCACAGGTAACTCAGCTCAAGGCAGGCTTCAGGGGCCCACAGCCCAGTGGGTGGGGCCGGTGGGGCAGCCTCAGGGCAGCAGACGACCAGGGCTAACCTCCTAGAAGTGCCTTCTCTTCCCTGAGAAAGTGGCCTTTCTCTTTGAGGGAGGATTTGATGGGCGGAACTGGCTGTGGATGTTTTTGCCTCAGTCTGGAGAACTGCCAGGCACCCCATTCATGCTGCTGCCCACCATTTAGCCTTTGTGCCCCTATACCAACCGCTGTACAGAACCCTCGGGTTCCGCAGGACTCCCTGGGGAATCTAGAGCCCCTGCCTGCAGGCTAGCCTCTCTCCAGCTGCTGCAGAGCCAGCCAGGCCTGCTGAAATCTGCTAGGGGCCCCTACCCCAGCTGGCTGAGGTTCAACCTCCAAGGGCAGCCGACTTTCTCCCCCACTGATTCCACCATCCAGGCCCAAAAGGGCACACCTTCTGTAAGCCAGGAGCCTGGGGTATAGGAGGGAGGTGGGAGATTCGTCTGATGCAGGACTCAGATTTGGTGGGGACGTGACATTCTGCAGGAGAGGTTTTCCTGGGACAGAACTCTGCTGAGGGCTGTGACAGATCTGAAGTCAGGCCAATGATCAAGAAAAAACTGTTCTGACACTTGCTAAAATGGTAAGGAAGAGTTCACTCAGGATTATTGCAATAGGCGCCAAGAGTATCACAAGGGGGAAGGAAAGAAATCAGGTTTGACTCCAAATACGGCAAAGACATGGGGGGATTTATAGCCAAGCAGCATAGTGAGGGGGTCAGTGATGGCAAATTACTAAGATGAATAGGAGTAGGGAGATTCTTGCTAAATGGACTTAACAGGATTCTTGCCCAAGGCAGCCCAGGGTACTCAGGTATCAACTGGAGGGGGGTCGGGAGTTTTGACTTAGCAGGATTCTTGCTAAAAATGGGGCTTGACAGGCCCAGGACAGGGCCCAAGGATAAGGCCTTGTTGAAAAGAGGGCTCAGAGGAACCTGTCTACCGTTGGGTCAAGTCTTTGCAGTAGTGCCTGGAGCTTTATATCTGAGGCAGCGCTGACTTATTGCCTCTAAGGAGCCTGACGAACAGGGAGGGGTGGGAGGGCCCTGACCCGGACCCCTGTCCCCATCAACACCCGGAGCCCAGCTCCATGTCTGCCCTCCCTGCAGACGCTCTCCGTCCTACATCGTCTGCAACACCACATCCTCAGATGAGGTGCTAGAAATGAAGGTGATGGTGCAAGTGGACAAGGCCAGCATCCACCAGGACCTGTTCTTCCAGTATGTGGAGGACCCCACCATCGTGCGGATCGAGCCAGAGTGGAGCATAGTCAGGTAGGGGCAGCCCTGACCTCAATTTTCCTTCCTCAACTCTCAAGAGCCAAGGACAGTTCTGGGGCCCAGTTTGGCTTTGAGGACTGATGAGTGGGGGTTGACTCAGAGCACCCCCCAAATCAGACCTTCCTCCCAGGGCGCCCTCCTTCCACCGAGAACACCTCTGAATGGGACCCGGCCCCTGAGGCCAAGCTCTGACCGGCAAGAGCCCATGACCCCTAATCTGAGCATTGGTGGGTACACCCAGAGGAAATGATCCCGTCATAGTGACTGCTGAGGGGGTGCCAGTCCTCTTCCCCGGAACCTCCCTTCTGGCAAATATGGGCGATAATTCCAATCCTGCTGAGGGATGCAGGAGAAAGAGATCAGATCCAACTTCTTCTTGGCCTGCTCTTGAACAAAAACGTGCCCCGACCACCAGGGTGCAATTCAGATGTCTGTCCTCTGGGCTTCTGTAGCATCCTGCCATTCCTCTGTCCTGCTCTGTCATGACCCCGAGTTGTCTGCTTGCTTCGACCTTCCCTCTATTGCAAACTCCTCAAGGGCAGGGAGTAGATCTTGTTCCCTGCTCTTTTCCCGGGGGCCCAAAACAAGTATAGAAAGCGCATGTCCTAGGAGGGAGCCAGGTATGTGCTGTTACAGCAACACCCTCTAAGGCCACCTCTCACTCAGCCATTCGCAAGCTGACTTGTACCAGCTGCGTAACTTCCCGGCCTCCCCTCTGGAGAGATTCCCAGGGGGCTTTGGAAATTCCAGGATCCCTAGGGACCCTCCCAGTCCCCGCTTGGTGGGGCTGTGGAGTGTGGCATCTCCCTTCAGGGAGGGAGCGCTGTTCCAGTCCCTGGGGTATACATTGTAATGGGAAGGTGATGCTAAGGGCATCCTGACACCAAGGGCCCTGCTGACCATTGGGAAACTGCTGGGTCAGGGGCTGAGGTGGAATGGAACAGGCCTTGGGGTCAGAAGGAGTGGGCTCAGCCCAGCTCTGCTTCTAACCAGCCAAAATAACCAATCACCTTAAAGGTTACTTGACTTCTCTGGGCTCATGGTTTCTCCTCCATCAGCTCCCTCCTGGGGTACTGGGAGGGGTAAGCAGAACGCATACGCACAGTGCAGTGCCTGGCCCAGCTCTCTCCCACTGCCCCTCACCCAGTCCTTAGCCCTCTGCACCGTGGGCTTCAGTTCTAGAGGACATCTGGCATCAGGGAAAGGGGGAACGCATAGAGATGTGGTCTCCCTGGCTGAAGCGGGGGTCAAGGACAAGTCCAGTACAGAGAACAATCTTTTAAACTGGGGTTGAGGGGCGCCTGGGTGGCGCAGTCGGTTAAGCGTCCGACTTCAGCCAGGTCACGATCTCGCGGTTCGTGAGTTCGAGCCCTGCGTCGGGCTCTGGGCTGATGGCTCAGAGCCTGGAGCCTGTTTCTGATTCTGTGTCTCCCTCCCTCTCTGCCCCTCCCCCATTCATGCTCTGTCTCTCTCTGTCCCAAAAATAAATAAACGTTGAAAAAAAAAATTTTTTTTTAAATAAAATAAAAAAAATAAACTGGGGTTGAGCAAACTCCAACCTGGGGGCCAGATCTGGCCATCTGCCTCCTTTTATAAATAAAGTTTTATTGGAACACAGCCATGCTCATTCATATATGTTTTGTCTGTAGCTGCTTTCTCAACACAACAGCAGAGATGAGTAATTGCAACAGACCATATGGCCTGGGAAGCCTAAAATATTTACTCTCTGGCCCTTTCCAGAAAAGTTTGCCACCCCCCGCCTTACAGCCACGAAAGGCAGCCTTTGCTGAGATCGGATGTGGTTGTCCTCAGCAGTTACCTCCTAAGACCCAAACTTTATAAGCTTTAGCCGTGATTTTAAAGTAGATGATTATGAGGCACAAAGAGGGGGGAAATTGTAGAAAGCTATTCTGGGATTTGCCCCCCGAGGCCCCGGGAATCTAGGAAGTTGGTGTAGCCCTTTGCCTAGGCAAACTCTACAGCTCCCTAAGGAATTCACAGTCTGGGTTAATTCAGCTCTTCCTCATGTCATTGTCACAGAAGTAGAGGTGTTGTCCTTCCTGGCGCTCAGTAGTGGACCCTGAGTCACATTCATAACAAGAGGGAGGTTGGAGGTTTGGGGCCTGCCAGCCGGCCCTAGAGGTTTTGCTGCAGTGAACAAATTCTCCGATGGGGTGGGGCTCTGCAGAGTGAGGCTTCAGACTGCTCCCAAGAGTCTGGGCTACTAAGGATCAGTGATGGGGGGCGGGTCCGTTGGTAAAGGCGTGTTGAATTGGTGATGGAGAAGATTGGGAGATGGCCAGATAGCAGAATCCCGTTGTGGAACACCGCCATGGGCAGAAGAGCCTGTCTGGGTTTTACAGGAATCTCCCAGCATGCATGTGCACGTGTGTGTAGGCGCATGCTTGTGTGTGTGTGCACGTGTTGGGGGGAGGGAGAGGGAGCGGGGGGGGGGCAGGTGGAGGGTGAGAGGAAGCCAGGGAATAACTGGGAGTGCAGAGATGAGCAGATGCATAGAGAGGTAGAAATGAATGCGGGTGACAGAGATTCTTTATTTGCCAAGCTTGTAACTGTTGCGGATGAAATTGTAGTAATTTCTGGGGAGGAGACAGTGCTCAGACCCTGGAGGGTCTGGTGGGGGGCCTCTTGGAGCAAGGCTCTCATTAGGCCACGGCTAGTGTGAAAATCTCCCTGAGATCGGTGAGGGCTGGGGCAGACACACCAGGGGCTGCGGAGAAACATCTGGCTCCAGTCAGGAGGCTTCAGAGCCTCCACGGGTGTCCAAGCTCTCGATGAGCCCAGTGCTGGACAGCCGCAGACATCTGGTTATCACTGTCGTCCCCTTGGCTGCTGAGAGCTCATCCTTATCATTATTCAGTCAGTTTGTCATCATTGTCCCTGTGAACATTATCACGCCTCCTGGCTATCATTGTCTTTAATGTCAGAGCTCAGCCTGATTGATCATCATCATCTTCAAGTGCCTTTGCTATTCCTATCCCCGTGTTGACACGCCTCCTCCTTTCTTCCCCGGGCAGTGGAAACACACCCATCGCCGTATGGGGGACTCACCTGGACCTCATACAGAATCCCCAGATCCGTGCCAAGCATGGAGGGAAGGAGCACATCAATGTGAGTCCAGGGTGGGCAGGGAACACGGGCAGGGAGCATGAGCACCACTCAACATGTCCTGACGGGACCCAGACACCCTGGAGCACTGGGACGATGGGATGAGGGAGCAGACATGAGGGCATTTTCATACCTTGGGGTACAGGCATGGAAGAGCAGTCACTTCTGGGGGTTCTGGGGTTTCATATCCTCATTCCTCCACCTTTCAGACCTCCGGTGCTGCCCCTTAGCTTAGAGATCCCCTAGTCACTGCCACACCCGCTGTGGACAAAGCAGATCTAGATGTCACTGCAGAGTCTACTGCTTGAGTGCCCAGGTTGTGTGGTCGTGGCTGCGGAGGGGTGGCGGCCCAGGTCAGCGCCATGCTGTTTGATGGCACTGGGGGGACCCTGGTGGGTGTGTTGGGGCTCTATGGGTTCAGGCGCTGCGTAAGTCCCCCTTTCTGGCTCCTCCAGCTCTGTGAGGTCCTGAACGCCACTGAGATGACCTGCCAGGCTCCGGCCCTCGCTCTGGGGCCCGACCACCAGTCTGACCTGACCGAGAGGCCTGAGGAGTTTGGCTTCATCCTGGACAACGTCCAGTCCCTGCTAATCCTCAACAAGACCAACTTCACCTACTATCCCAACCCCGTGTTTGAGGCCTTCGGGCCCTCAGGAGTCCTGGAGCTCAAGCCTGGCACTCCCATCATCCTGAAGGTAGAGTGAGGTGGTGGGCGGGGGGTGGGAAGCCAGGAGGCTGCTGCATGGAATGGGGATGCTTTTCAAGTGCCAGAGAAAGGCCAGAAGTCATGGGCTCTGGCCCAATTTCATGACCGCTGTCCCTAGCGGAGGTTGTGTTATAGTCCAGAGCGTGGAAAAGACTGCCTCCGAGTTTGTATTGGGAGGCGAACTCTCTTTACAGGCTGTAGAGACCTGATCGGGGCAACTGGACCCATCCTGGCCATCTGCCTCCCAGGCTTCCTGTGTCCCCCGAGTCCAGGACCTGGGAGGTCAAAGGCGCACACTGCTTCCTCCCGTGTAGCCCTTTGCAAACCACAGCATAGGGTTTCTTTGGAGCATGGGTAGCAAATTAATTTTAACTCCTGTGACAATTTCAATCAATTGGTACCGATTGACTGTAGCTCTGTGTTGAGAGGGATTCTGAGGCTGCACTCGGATGAGCTCAAAAGAGTGCCCCGATCACTGACTCCCCACCGAGGAAAGGGGAATGGCAGTGTATGTGCCACAAAGCTTTTGCACTTGTTGTGGAAGGTGGCCTCTCCACCAGCTCGCCAGCAGGATGGGACCTCTGGGTGGGAGACGTGGCAGCCAGCCAGGAGCTATGATGCTGACTCTGGGGTGGGAACCGAGGCTCTCCTGTCCCTCCAGGGCAAGAACCTGATCCCACCAGTGGCTGGGGGTAATGTGAAGCTGAACTACACCGTGCTGGTTGGGGAGAAGCCGTGCACGGTGACGGTGTCGGATGTGCAGCTGCTCTGCGAGTCCCCCAACCTCATCGGCAGGCACAAAGTGATGGTGAGGCCGGCGGGGCCCCGATCTGGATGGGGCGGGCACTTAGGGATGCGAGAGTGTGAGCGGACCGGCTCCATGCTGGGCTGCCAGGGCTTTCCGGGAGGCGATTCTGGCCCTCTCAGAACTTCCTTCGTGGCCACCCATCACCCCTTGTTCCTTCTCTCTGTCATGCTTCCCACCTCCTTCTTGTGCATTGTCATTCTTTCCTGACACTGGTGCTACAATAAAGGCCATGCAAAACAGCTCTAGGGATGTGCTGCATGGCCTGTTACAGGCTAGAGACCCTTCCAGGAGAGCACCGTTGTTGGCCCCAGGAGGGCCATAATATGCTCTGCCTCAGTCTTCCAATCCTTATGATGGGATGAATCTCAGGGAGCGGTCATTGAAGACGTGTCAGACTTCTTTAGGTCCCAGTCGTGGGCTGTTTCCTTAGGAAGATGGACGACATTAGTCCCGGCTGAGGGAATTTGCAGCTTCCCGTCTGCGGGGGTGGCCTGCTCTGAGCCATCCGGACCCGTCCCCAGGCCCCCACACACCCTCTCCTCTGTTCCAACCCGCGGCGGTTTTCCTCCCTCGAGCCCTTTCCTTCATCCTGCCCCGGGGCTGCTTCCCCGGGGTGCTCCGTGCCCGCTCCCAGCTTCCTCTCGCGTGCTGTGCCCCCAGGCCCGAGTCGGTGGCATGGAGTACTCCCCGGGGATGGTGTACGTGGCCCCGGACAGCCCGCTCAGCCTGCCCGCCATCGTCAGCATCGCCGTGGCAGGCGGCCTCCTGGTCATCTTCATCGTAGCCGTCCTCATCGCCTACAAACGCAAGTCCCGCGAAAGTGACCTCACGCTGAAGCGGCTGCAGATGCAAATGGACAACCTGGAGTCGCGTGTGGCCCTGGAGTGCAAAGAAGGTACTGGAGGACCGGGGACCATCCCCCCACCCCAAGTCTGTGCGCGTGCGCCTCACACAGGGCAGCGGGCTGGGCACCTGCAGGCCGCACTGGGGGCCGGGTGTCTAACTCCGCTCTCCGAGCCTGTATCCAGACAGATCCCTTATCCCAGCAGACCCACCCCTTCCCGGGCGAGGCCGCCCTCCCCTCCCTCCAGGTGCCCCCTTCCCCTCTTTCCCCAGGTCAGGCTGGGATCATCCTAAGCTCCGTGAGAGCAGTTTCCAGCTCAGAATCCTGGCCGCCGGGGTTTTATGCTCTCCTGTTGGGGACACCTTGGGGTGTCTTGACATGACACATTCAGCAACCTGCAGCTCCCTTCCTTGAGGAGGAAGGTACGGCTGTAGGGCTGATTTGAGATGTAGAAGGAAGAGGGTTTCCCAGCCTGTGTGTTTAAAAATTACCAACACCGCCATGATGTGAAATCAGCTGCGCTAAATCCAAGAAGGAAATTTAGGAGTCAGACTCTTGTCGCCTGCCAGATATCATGATATCATTTCGTGAGTCACCCTGGGAGGGTCTGAGTGGATTCTTTGCCGTGGATTTATTCTCCGAGCCAATCCGGCCTGTACCTGGGGCTCTCCCATCCCCACTAGGGAAGCCGCAGCTCCCTCTGATGGGGAAGTGGATCCATCCCGTCCCCTCAGTACATCCTTAGCTGTCAACACTGGCATCTGCCTTGTGGGACTGTTAATTACTGCCTTTTATTATATTTACGCTGCTTAATTTTTTTCTCCGCAATGTACTCTTCCCTCTAATTAGGTGTAGTGATTAGAATCTCTTTTATGTGTGGCAGGCACGAGGCTTTGAATGTTGGAGGCGCTTAGTGACTTGAAGGAAAGCTGCAGACAGATTAAAAAACCACCTCCCTCCTTCTCCTCTCCGCCAGCTGAGCACCCCCAACGGGGAGCGGGCAGAGAGGGGAATGTGAAGCCAGGTTCCTCTCAGAAAGTTCTGGAGAAGGAGGAATTAGCAGTCAGGGAGTCCAGCCGAAGAGGGTCAGCGGAGGCGCCAGGAGAGGGCCTTGGCTTCTGGCTCGGGAGAGAGCTCTCCTGTGTGAGTGAGACGAGAGAGGTGTAGAGCAAAGTACATGGAGATTCGCCATGGAAGTATTCGTCGGGGGTGCCCAGAGCTGGCTCTGGAACATGTAAGGGGCAGCTTGGGTTCAGGGAAGGTGACTCCCCAAAGACTTGAGAGTAAGCCGGGACGTCACCCACACGCAAACCCAGGCCCTGCGCTGGCCTGGCCTCTTGAGACATAAACACACACACGCGTGCTTACACGGCCACAGCAACTCACTGACACGCACACACACCCAGACGGTCACTCACGCACTCACACACACACTCACTAATGCCCACGCACACATTGCACACATTCCCACAAACACACACGCGTGCCTCACTCAGGACATACATGAATGTTCACCAGTGCTTTCGGTGACAGCACGTGCCAGACGTCTTACCGAGTCCTCCTCCTGCACACGTGTGCACACACACTGGTGTGAGTTCTACTTGGAGGCGTTACAGTTGCTCTGCCTTCGGAGTCGTTCGCCTTGGCAGGCCCCCCCCCCCCCCCCCCGTGTCAGTGTGACCAGGGGTGCGGACGGAGAGCAGTGCAGGGGAGGTCTGGAGCAGCCTCTCCAGGGGCCCGGGTGGGGTCCTCACGATTCTGTCAAATGAGAAGCAAATGAGAAGCCTCGAGGCCTGGAGACCCAAGGTCCGTGGGCCCAAGTTGGCACTGTGGGGTGCAGTGGGGCCCCCGTCCACAGTGCCTGGGGCAGCCGTGTTGTGTTTGTGTCGTGTGATCAGTAGAGCCCACAGAATACTGTTTTCCCATTCTTGTGTTTATGGAAATTGTAAGAAGTATCGTTTCATCAGTGCCCACTGGCTGTGTTAATCCATGCTGGTTGTGTGTGAACGTGCGTGTGTCTCACGCATGCATGCACGCGAGTACGTGTGCGTGTGCCCTGGAGGAAGATGGAGCAGGGGGACATTTCTGACGGCCATCCCAGGGCAGAGGGTGGCCTGGGAGGAGGGCTGTGCTCAGGACAGAGTGTGGCCGCAGCTTTGGCGCTATGTGACCACCTGGGCCGTGTGCTAGACTTCCTTGGGGGCAGGAAGGAAGGGCATCTTGCAGCTCCATGACCATCTGGAGGCCTGAGCTGCCTCCACAGACAGCAGTGCCCACATGCAGACCATAATTCACCGTGGAGTGGCATCACCTTGAGGAAGGAAAGACAAAGATACACCCTGCATATCTATCCAGAAGGAATACAGTAATGTGGCAGAGCCTTCGTCTTGGCCCCATTGGGTGGTTTGTGGTGTGAAGGCTCCAGTGAGCTGCGTGGCCCAGAACTAGGACTGCAGAAGAAATTGTTTTTCACTTTTATAAGAAAGCCCACTATAAAACGCAGAATTAGGAATAGACCCTCCACCACTGGAACCTCTCCCCTCCCTCCCCCGTCCTTTGACGTCCCCCCTACCCCCCAGCATATTCTGTAAACCAAAACCATTCAGGCCCCAGCAGCAGGACAAATCTGTGGACAGCCACCCCCACCCATGCTTTGGAAGGGATTTGGCCCAAGACAAGCCTCCTTGTGACACATTCTATCTCTCCTTCCTATATCATTCACCCCAGCTACTTAAAACATCCCACGTTATTCCTGCACACCTGCAGCCTATTGCCCGTGTCTCCTAAAGGCCTGGGTGAGGGTTCTGAGCCTCAGACTCGAGGCCCACCCCAGCCAGCAGTCTCACAGGCTTCCCTTTGTACCAGCTTTTGCCGAGCTGCAGACGGACATCCATGAGCTGACCAGTGACCTGGACGGAGCTGGGATCCCCTTCCTGGATTACAGAACGTACACCATGCGGGTGCTGTTCCCAGGGATTGAAGACCATCCTGTGCTCCGAGACCTCGAGGTGAGAAGTAGGACCCGTAACCAAGCCTTCCCCATCAAGGTGCTAGTGCAGAGAAAGGTGTCGGTGACCTGCAAATGCAGCCACCTCATCGGGAGGTGAGAAAGCTGAGGCCAGGGAGGGGATGTGACTTGCCCAAGGCTTCCCCCTACCCCCCGCTTGTCAACGGCAGCCAGCCCGTCCCTCGGGAGGAAATGGGGCCGAGCCAGGGAGCCATCTGAGCAGAGATGGGAGTAGATTTGGGTTCTAGGGGTCATGGAGCCCTTGAGAATTGAATGGAAGTTGAAGAAAAACTGTACATATACACAAAAACAACACATCTGGCAGCTAATGTAACGAGCTCATGGACTCCTGTTTAGGAAACTCCCATGATGTAAGGGATTTCACCACATAGTTGGTGCTCAATAAATACATGTGGAAAAAATAAGTGATGTGCTGGGAAGGGGGGGTGGAAGCGTGAATGATAAGAATATAACTGTCTTTTATACCAGCAGGACCTCATCTTTTGAACATTTTATCACTTCCTGTCTAGCATAGTATCTGGCTTATGCATATATTCATACTGTGCTTTGTTCCGAAAGGGATTTCGGATGACTTATCAAGATAAATACCAGAGAAAAGTGAAAAATATAAATGAGGAAACCAGGGCAAAATAATAATCATAAGGCATAATCGCTGTTAGCAGGCTGCCGACTAAGCTCCCGGTCCAGTTGTAAGTACTTCGTACGTGTGTGCGGATTTACTATCTCACAAGCAGTCGGAAGAAGTCGCGCTTCTTTGAGAGGCAGCAAAACTAAAGGCACAGAGAACTCCGGGGCCACGCAGCTGGGAGGGGGTGGCACCAGGATTTGAGTCCTACAGTTAGACTTCAGGGTCTGTGCTCCCAATGATGAGTCTTTGCACATCACTGTCGTGCCTTCGGGCTCTGGATACTTATTAGGACGGATCAAAACTCTCCAGGCAAAGCAACAGTAGAGATTAAGGCTAATTCCAAGACTTATGTCGTGCATAACATAACAACAGACGCCTCGCTCGGGGGTTGCACAGGTTTGCAGGTACCAACCCCTGCGGGAACATCTACACGGTTGTTCAAGGGGGTGGAGACGCTGTGCGTCTCTACAGAAAACACAGCAAGTCCCCAGGGACTTTGGGGCCCATATGCATTTCTCCATAATTGTTGAATAAATTGTGTGCCAGTGTGTGTGTGTGTGTGTGTGTGTGTGTGTGCACGTGTGCACACTGCTATAATGAGGGCACAGTCACTTCTGTCTGGAGGAGGGTCCGCTCCGCTCCTCAGTGGATAGATACCAAGAGGCACTTCCAAAGGCCGTAGGTGGTAGGCTCTGTGTCCTCACTGATAACGCACCTCTGCTCCGTGTGCACGTCTGCTCTTGTGTGGACACGTATAAGGTATACAGGTGTGTCGTATAAACAAATGAAAACATCGGCTATATCATGATACGCTCTTCCTTTTCTTGGTCTCACCCTTCTTTCTAAATGAATATTATCTTGTTTATTAATGTGTTTACTTGTTTACAGTTCATATCTCTGTAACCCCCTCCCCCCACACAGGCTGCATTCGAGCAATAACCGTGTTTATTTTATAGACGTTAATACCAGAACACCAGGTGGCACCAATTTGGTGAATGAAAGAAGTCACTCTATAGCCTAAGACATATAAAATCCACAATTGTTTATGAAATTAAAGCACCATGCCTATGAGTTGACATTTTAAAAGGATGTAGGTCTTAGATCTAGCAAAATAAAGTATTATAGTTGACATATGGCTCTGGTAAGTTAACAAATAATTGTTTAAAAATATCATTTGGGGGCGCCTGGGTGGCTTAGTTGGTTGAGCATCTGATTCTTTTTTTTTTTTATCCAAGTTAGTTAACATGTAGTGTAATGATGATTTCAGGAATAGAATTTAGTGATTCATTACTTATATACAACACTCAGTGCTCATCCCAACAAGCGCCCTCCTTAATGCCCATCGCCATTGAGCCCTCCCCCCACCCAACACCCCACCAGCCGCCCTCAGTGTGTTCTCTGTATTTCTTATTGTTTGTCTCCCTCTCTGTGTTTATCTTATTTTTGCTTCCCTTCCCTTATGTTCATCTATTGTGTTTCTTAAATTCTGTATATGAGTGAAATCATACGATATCTGTCCTCTGCCTTGGTCTCACTCTTCACGCCTATGCCCCTCTCTCATTCTCATTCACTTTTCTCTTACATTTATACTTTTTCCAGCCTCATTTTTCACCTGCTTCAAACGACTAGGGTGTTAGTCCATGGAAGAGTACGCACTTTCCACATGCATTTGCATCTCCAGGGATTCTCAGACTCTCAAGCCTGGCTTGGCACGAGTTTAACATACAGACTAGGGCAGTACGTTCCCAAGGACTGCCCGAGGTGGTGGCAGGAGAGTTATAGGGCTCCTTCTCCTACAGGAACGCATGGGCAGTTGTGCAGGTTGAACACTGCAGTGCTCCAGATGGCATCATTCATATGCAGCACCTTTGGGGTTGTTCAGTGCACAACCTGCTTCACTGTCTACAGCAGCCCTGTGTACCAGGACCAGAATACAAATGATTCCCTCTCATTGCCCTTCCTAACTGTACCAAGCCTCTCGCTGAAAGCTGTTGGAGTCCCTAGCTGCCCTGCCGGGCTGTAACCACCTGAGATGCTCTCTGGGTAGATACCCCGCCCCCGGCCGGGGCGGTTCCGACGGCCCCAGTATAAATCACATCACACCCTACCACGGCCTTATTCCTCATCTGGCACGTTCAAGTTTCCCCTCCAACCTGAGTCTTCTCTCTTCTTTGCCTTTATCATGAGGACAGACTCGCAGCTCCCACCCTCCTGCTCACGAAGGAGTTACAGCCACCTGCACCAACTTCCTGAGTGGGAGCCCACACAGGACAGCTCACTGTCACGTACACTCTGCTTCACACAGGGCACGTGGCTCTTCTTTGTTTGAGTGGTGGTAAAATTAGCATAACATGAAGTTTGCTATTTCAACCATTTTTTACATGTTCGGGGCCATTAAGTACGTTCCCACTGTGGTCCAGCCATCCCCACCATCCATCTCCAGGATGTTTTCATCTTCCCCACCAAACACTAACTTCCCATTTGCCCTCCCTCAGAAACCCCCATTCGATTTTCTGTCTCTATGAACTTGACTGCTCAGCGTCCCTCGTGTAAGTGGAAACACACAGGATTTGTCCTTTGGGGACCGGTTTATTTCATTTAGCAGAATGTTTTCAAGGTTCATCCATATTGTAGCATGCGGTAGAATTTCTTTTCTTTTTAAGGCTGAACAATAGTCCGTTGTGTGTGTAGACCACATTTTGTTTATCCGTCCATCTGTCAGTAGACACAAGGGTCACTTCCACCTTTTGTCTGTTGTGAATAATGCAGCTAAGAACGTGGGTATACAAGTACCTGCTGGAGCTCCCGCCCCTGGTCTTTTGGGTATGTGCTCAGAACATACGACTCTTCATTTCTGTTAAACTCACTAATTAATTGACAGAAGTCAACTTTTACCATCCCACATTAGCCTGGGGCCATATGAGATCCGGCATCCTAGGCAAGACCCTGGGATCCTGCCCGGATTATTCTGATTTGCTTCCAGCCCCGCCTTGCCACCGAAATAGTTTCTCCCTGTTGGCTTTCCTAGTATGGAAATATTCCCAGGGAAGCCACTGATAATCCAAAGCGATGTTTCCTGACCTTTCCAGCCACTGGAATCGGTGCCCACTGATTGGGCATGAGCGGTAGATGTGTGTGAAGGAGGAGTTATCCTCCGGCTCTATCTGTCCTGGACTTAGCCCTGGGTGAAGGGATGGCATGTGGTTAGGGGGCTGCCCAGGCACTGGGGACACACCAATCCTTTAAAGACAGAGAGCAAACAGTAACCACACACCCCGTTTTCAACCTATCCTTGTCTCCTAAACTCTAACCTGTTGGGTTACAATTAAAATTTACTCTCCGGTTTTTAACTCACAAGCTTCAACTAAACTGTCGAACCATCTGGTGAATAAAGAAAGTCTTGTTTCAGAGTGACATTTGCTTAGGGAGCTGGTTGGGGGGAGGTGGCAAGTTACAAAGGGGAATTGTGCTGAATACTCTTCTTCACCGAGACACTTCACCTCTATCGCCCCCTTCATCAAGTGGGGAGAAAATTCCTACCTTCTCCACCCCCCAGACACTGGGCTGATGTATTCGATGTCTTAGAAACTCCTGGGCAAGAGGGATGGGTGAAAAGCAGCCAGTGGAAGAGGAGAGGCAGGTAATAAAACTGCCGTTAAGTGCACACTGTGTGTGCCAAGCACTTTACATACATTATCTTATTTAATGCTCATAAAACATTATGACATGGGCACTCATATTCTCATTTTACAGACGAGGCAATAGAGCCCAGAGGTGACAGGGCTTTCCTCCATGTGTGAGTCAGTGAGTCTTTCTGATTCCAAAACCCACAGCTGGCTTTGCTAACCCTTCCTCCCCAAGGGCCTCAGTCCTTGGTGCCCCGGAGGCGTGTGCAGCCAAGGCAAGAAGTCCAGAGCACGCCCTCTCCCCAGACCTGCCCTCTGGCCAGCCCTGTGCCCTCTTCCTCCTGGTGCCAGACCCGGACGTGGCTCCCCTGCCCTCGATGGCCAACCTGAGTTGCCAGGAGGCCCTGCGTGGGAGGCTGCAGGGGAGACTCAGGGCTGTCTCTCGGTCACCTCCTAGGCCCAGGGGGAGGACTAGGTGTGGTGAAGGACGGGCAGATGGATGGGGACTCGGGAGCCAAACAAGCTTGGGTTTGGAAGTCCAGCACCATCCCGCACCAGCTGGCTGGCCTTAGGAAGCCTGCGGTACCTTCTCTGAGAGGCGGTTAAGAGGACACCCTCACCCTTGCAAGGTCCTGAAAGGCTTAGATGGAGCCATGATCGCAGTGTGCCAGCACCATGCATTGCACGTGCCGGGTGCCTCGAAAGTGGCATTATCTATCAGCAGTAGAACGAGGTGTGGGCATATTGCTCCGGCGGGGCGGGACGGGGGAGCGGTGGGTGGGGATTGAAGGACAGCGGAGGTTAAACGTGCACTCGTGTGTTGGAGGCCATCACAGGGCAAGGAGGGAGGTCGGCGGGACACAGACGGCTGGGTAGATTGAGGCCAGGCTGACGGCAAGGTGAGGCTGTCTCATACCCTTGTCTTTTTCCCTTGTCAGCCCCTGTGGAGAGGGGAACCAGGGATCCGGGCAGGATGCCAGCCGAGATCGGGCCCACCTTGGGGAATGAGGAGTTTGCCAAGGGCAGCTGGGCCGAGAGCTGGGACAAGCGGGGCCCCGGCTCTGGCGAGTTCCCATCTCTCTCCTGAGTACCGCCTTCCCACATGGCCTTCCGGAGGGGCCTCCTGCTGACCATCCAAGGACAGGCAGGGGCCTGCCCCGTCTCTGCCTCCTCCAGGGCCTCGCCTCGAGCCTGGGACACAGGGGAGCTCAGGCAGTGAGCGGCGTGAACATTCCAGCTCTGTGCCTGCCACCTCCTTGGACCTTGGGCACACAGGGTTTCTCTGCTGCCTGCATCTTCCCCAGTTTAAAACTTCTGGACTAGAGTGGGATGCAGTTGCTACCATTCGGGAAAGGTGACTGTGTGTCAGGCCCTGCATTGCCAAGGTTTTCACGCACCTTCTTCTTCAGGGCTCACGCCAGCCCCCCGAGATGGCAGGATGCAGTGCTGGCTGCCTGGGTGCCGTCCCGGCTCTGACACTCCTGTGTCTTGGGATCCCGGGAAAGTTCCTCACTGTCACGAGGCCCTGGGATATTAACGGTACCCAGCTCATAGGGGGTCATGTGGAATAAATGGGTCAACATTTCTCAAGCATGTAGAGCCGTGCTCAGCAAAGTACGGACTACAGACGCATTAGCTGGAGTACCTTCGTTTCGCTGTTGGAGGAATGGAGCCTTCTCAGGGTCCCCGACTAGTCTATGGCTGTGACAGTGAACCCAAGCTTGACCCTCCCCGAAACTGCTGGCTTCACTGCTGCCCACAGGACGCTCCTTCTCCAAGACCCCCGTGGGGGGGGGGGGCACAACCCTCCACACGGCACCTTGTTTGAATGTCCCTGCTCCTCCCGCACCCCACTCCACGACACGGGTGCCCTGCTCTGTTCTCCGAGGGCTTCACCTTGAGGGCAGAGGCTGCGCTTTATTTGTTAAGCAACCTTCTTGCTATAATGAAAGAACACCTACAGAGCAAGGCACACGTTGTCGGGACACAGCCCAGTGCATTTTCCCTGAGTGAACACAGCCAGCAGGCCAGCACGCAGATCAGGAAGCTGAACCCTACCGGCCCTCCACAAACGTCCCTGAGTGCCCCCTTCCAGTCACCGCCACCCCCGAGAATAAGCATTTTCCTGCCACCGTTGTTTTTTAATGAATCTTTATGTAAATGGTACTACACGGTATGCCCTCTTCTTCCTGACTTTTTTTCATTCCATTGTCTGCAAGATGCATCCGTGCTACCGTGAGTGGTAGAAAGCCCTTCACTGCCAGTGGTAGAAAGCCCTTCACTGCCGTGGCCGTGTGGCTTCCTGCTGGGCGAATATCTGCACTTCCTGGAGCCGCTCGCTGTTGCTGGGCACCCGGCTGATTCCAGTCTGGGGCCCTGACATGCAGAGCTGTGGGGCCCGCCTGGTGCATCTCAGAGATGCGTTCTCCAGTTCTCCATGCCTTCTCGCCCAGTGGCTGGCTGGTGTGAGCTGGGTAGACCCTGCCCCCCCTGCCGGCCTCTGCCGGTGGACAGAGGACGCAGGCAGGAAGATGAAACCTCCTTCCCCGTCTTCCTCCTGTTTCCCTGGGTGCGGCAGGGTCTCAGAGGAGTCTCTGAGAAAACATCAGATGCTAGGGTCTGTGGGGCTTAATCTTCTTTCTTTAGGTGAATCACCTTGGGGCCCCAGAGAAGTTGCGGGACCTGCCAGAGGTCCCATGGGGTGGCGGAGTCAGAGCCTGTGTGGACCCTGGAAGTCCTGACTCTGAGGCCACTGGTCTGTCAACGGGATCCCCGTGGCCAGAGAAGGGTCAGCATGAGGACAGGTGGAGGCTCAGGTGTGACGACCCCTCCGGGAGGCCCCCGGGGGCTGTCTGTAATGCTCATGCGCCCTGGCACAGGGCCCCCCACCCGCCCTGTGCTGCTGTCAGGGACGAGCTCGCGCTCAGCAGCGGACTCAGATCCCAGCATGGCCATTATCACTCAGGGTGCCTTCTCTCTGTGCCTCACTGATTCACCTCCAAACAAGAGGCATTGAGCCGCACGTGGGTTAAGGAAATAGCTGGCACGGTGCCCGGGGCCAGATGAGGGCAGGGTCCACAGCGTGCGGCACCCACCCCGTGGGGAGGCCCCTGGGCCTGGCTGGCCTCCGCCTCACGTTGGCGGTCGGCAGTCAGGACTCCCCCGGGGGCTCCTCCGCAGGTCCCGGGCTACCGGCAGGAGCGCGTGGAGAAGGGCCTGAAGCTCTTTGCCCAGCTCATCAACAACAAGGTGTTCCTGCTGTCCTTCATCCGCACCCTGGAGTCCCAGCGAAGCTTTTCCATGCGCGACCGCGGCAACGTGGCCTCGCTCATCATGACGGTGCTGCAGAGCAAGCTGGAGTATGCGACCGACGTGCTGAAGCAGCTGCTGGCCGACCTCATCGACAAGAACCTGGAGAGCAAGAACCACCCCAAGCTGCTGCTCAGGAGGTGAGGGCCGGGCCGGGCGGGCGGCAGGGGGCGGAGGTCGGAGAGGGCCCCTGCCCAGCCCAGCCGGCTTGGCCTGGATCTCGTGCCTTCTGGGGAGACGGGACAGAGCTCCCAGGAGGAGCAGCCAAGTCCCGCCAAGCTTAGGAACCAACCTGCCCAGAGACCAGGGCGCACCCCATGTCCTTTTGGAAGAACCCGTCCACCCCGGCCCGTCCACTTGCCCTGCTGCTTCTCTTTCACCCTCTAATTCCGCTCTGCCTTCTTCTCTCTCCGCCCTTACCCTTCCCTGGTTACAGCCCTTTCTACCGGAGTTCTTCTCTCGTGGAATCTTCAGAGGTCACTTGCCCAGCCCCCGGCCTTATCTAAATCAGAACATGAGTTAGGAGAGATACCCCAGGGCCTCTCTGGGGACCATCCTCACCATCTTAAGACTGGAAACCTTAGGGGCGCCTGGGTGGCTCAGTCGGCCAAGTGTCCGACTCTTGATTTTGGTTCAGGTCATGAGCTCATGGCTCATGAGTTGGAGCCCTGCGTCGGGCTCAGCGAGAGCAGTGCGGAGCCTGCTTGGGAATTTCTCTCCTCTCTGTGTGTCTCCCCTGCTCTCTCGCGCTCTCTCTCTCTCTCTGTCTCTCTCAAAATAAATAAGTAGACGTTAAAAAAGATTGGAAACTTTGGCCCTGGCCCCTCTCACTGCTGTGAGCACCACAGCAGCGAAGCCACTGGGAGCTTCTCGGTAACACAGAATCTCAGGGCCCAGCCCACAGCCTCCTGGATCAAAATCTGTATTCTAACGAGAACCCTAGGTGATCTGAAGGCACAGCGAAACCCGAGAAGCACCGGTCTGGCCTGTGTTCGAATGAAAGCCCTTCAGTGGCCCCTTGCCTGATGCAATGCACCAGGTGTTTCCTGGCACCGGCTGGGGACTCTGCACGGGTCCAGGTGCACCACGGCACACTGCTGGACGCCTCATCCTTGACACTGTGGAGACCTGAATGGTCACATGTGACCGCAGAAGCCATATCCTGTGGCTTCGGCTTTATGGCAAATAGAGGTTCTCTGACTCCATCCATGCCGCCTTTCACGTTTTCCTCCTGCTGGAAGGCCATTTCCCCCCTAGGCTGTTAGCGCGGTGTCTTTAGCCTTTCTGTGGACAAAGCTGGAAAACTCTCACATCAGGCCTTTGCATCCAGCCCTCTGCCTGGACCGCCCCAGGGGCCGTCTGCCTCTGCCTGTCCTCTGCCTCCGTCCTGGGTGTCTGGGTCTGAGGCAGGGCCCCCTGCTTGGTCCAGTGGCTACATTTGGCTTCCAGAAGTGTCTCCTTCAGGCTTTTTTCTGGTGCCTTGGGCATTCGCCTGCACAGCTGCAGAAGGTTGCTACATTTCGGAGCAATCAGACAGCTTTGGAAACAGCAAGGTAGATCATTTTGATTTTTGTTTTACTTCCACCACGCAGCCACCCACCGGCATAATTCTAGGGTTGCCACTGCCTGCCAGAGCTCCCACCGACAATTTCCCCGCGTGGCCTCGCTCTGTATCCGTGCGTCTCCACCTCTTGTTTTCCACTCGCTCCCCCCCAGATGCCCTCTCTCCTTCTGCCCTCCTCCGTCTCCCTTTCTTTTCCTTGCCCTTGGCTGGGCCCCTCATTTCAACAGTCTTGCTCTTCTCTTCTTAGTTTCATTTGTGTGCTGGCAGCTGCCTCAGGATCATACTTATCCATATCTTCTGCCAAGTGCAACTTTCAAAGCCTATCCACACATACCCGAACGGGCCCGTGTCTCCATGGAGGAGGCCACAAGCTTAGCGCAAGTTCGAATGGAGTTTGTTTCCTCCAAACGGGTGCAACCAGAAGTGTCTTGGGGCCATAACAAGGCCGCAGTGTCCTTCCCTTCCAAAGTAAAAGAAAGGGACTTGGGTAGCAGCACAAAGGGTGCGAGCTAGACTCAAGAAGGCACTTCCTGCCGTTGCAAATGAAACACTAGCGAGGTTCCAGGGGAAGTTCCAAAGTAATTTGAAACAGGACAATTTTGGCATCTCTTGGGATGAGCTAGGTATTAGCTCTAGGAGTCTTTAGCTTTAGGGGATGGGGTCAGTGTAATCCATCTGGTTTTTGTCCCACGACCCGCTTCTCCCGCTGCCTTCCTTTCTATCCCCTGCCAAATTAGTATCTCCCCGGGTTTCTTATTCTTCTCTTCCCCACCCATAGGAAATTATAAAGTTCTCTACGCTTGCACTGTCTGAGGTTGCAGCTACAAGCTACACGTGACCATTCAAATGTAAATTGACCACAGGTCAAGAAAATGTAAAATTCGGCTCTTCAGATGCACTAGCTGCATTTCGAGTGCTGAGTGGACACGTGTGGCAGGCAGGGGGCTACCACGCCGGACAGGACAGTGTTTTCCTCCTCGCGGAAAGTGCCGACGGACAGCTGGTCTAGCGCGTTCCCTCCAAACATGCACCAGGGAGCCTGGCACCAGAATGTCATCTCCTGGCTTCGCGGGCAAAGCTTGTCCTATCATTACGGGGTGTCTAGGAGGCTATAGAATCCAAACGTTCTTTAGCACCTCAAGATGGGGCCCAAAAGCCGCAAGCAGCAGAATCAGTGTGGAGTTGTTCCCTTGCCTTCCCAGTCCTTGGGGGTCTGACCAGCTGCTTCTGTCTTTGTCTCGCTCCATCGGTTCCCTTGGTGACTGGTGACAGGACTGAGTCGGTGGCTGAGAAGATGTTGACCAACTGGTTCACTTTTCTGCTCTACAAGTTCCTCAAGGTATGATTGGATGTGGGGGTATCTCTGGGGGCACCCCCCTACCAGAGTCTGCATGCCCCCAAGCCCACATTCCCCACGGCCTGGCTTGTAGAACCAACCAAGAAATGAGGTCCCCCTCAGCACTGTCACTGGCCCCGAGGCGGCAGACTCCTGACCATCTCAGGAGACAGAGCCTCTGTCAGCCCTTGCATGAGAGATACCATCCCCTGTCCCCCAGGCCGCTTTCTCCAGAGCCGTGAGAGCATCCTGCGTGAGCCCTAAAGCCAAGTTCCCCTTGTGAGCCCAAAACATTTCACCCCTTATTTCCTTGCTTTCCCTCTTCCTCCCGTCCTACCTCTCCCAGCCCCAGGCCCATAAGGGTTCCAGGCTGGTACCTTGCAAGGCACGCTGCCCGTGTGGCTGGGAGGTAGAAAATCCGTTCCCCTCCAATCATTACCTGTTTTCTAAGGCTTTGGCACCACCAGGGACTGACCTCTGTCTCATGATGGGCAGGGGTGGGGTGGGGTGGGGAGGAGGAACAGAGAAGGGACAGGAGGCAGGGGAGGTGAAGAGGAGGGGGCGGACAGGAGAAGACAGGTGGTCAAGAGAGCTGAGAGAAACGCCCATCTGAAGGGGGAGTTGGCACCAGAGAGGAGGACGGGGAGCAGGAGAGAAATGAGACAGAGGAGTGGAGAGCGGCCCTGTCCAGAGAAACGGGCTCCGGGGGGCTGGTCCGGCGTCCGCCCAGCACGGCTCTTCTCTGTGTCCAGGAGTGCGCCGGGGAGCCCCTCTTCTCGCTGTTCTGTGCCATCAAGCAGCAGATGGAGAAGGGGCCCATCGATGCCATCACAGGAGAGGCCCGCTACTCCCTGAGTGAGGACAAGCTTATCCGCCAACAGATCGACTACAAAACCCTGGTAAGCCGGCCTCACGGCGCTGCCCGTGCCCCTGGACAGGGGGCTCTGGTCCCGCACAGCCCCTGCCCAGCAGAGGGGATGGCTGAGGTGCTGGCGAGCCATCTGTCCTTACCTGCCGCACGGGCCCAGCCAACGTCACCCCCAGACTCCCTCAGTTACCGCCACACCAGGGCAGCTGGATTTGGGGGCCAGTTGCTCAGGCACAGCTCAGCCACACTTCAGCAAAGACTAGTGTGGTTCCGGGCCAGTGCACTGAACGTGGGGTCCCAAGCCCTTGCCAACAGCTGGCTGGCTGATTCCCCAGAACAAACTCCTCATCAGGAATCCCAGCGTGGAGAGCGAAGGTTCCATGCAGAGCAGGTGGAGGCCAAAGGAGAGGAAACCGGAAAGAGTTCCTTATGTTTCAGAAGCCCAGCTCTGCCTACAGTCTAAGTGCAAATACGCCCATGACCCGAGCTATAGACCACAAGGCCGGGATAGCCTAGTGGTTAAGGCACTTGTCCAGGGAATGTAGGGATTCCCTCTGTCAAGGTTAGACCCCCTCTTCTAATAGGAGCTGTCACCCTAGGAGGCAGCCGAGCTCAGCATGTAGGAGCATGAGGTCTGGATTAGAGCCCTGACTCTGCTTCTGACCAGCTGGCTGATTTGGGGCAGATCCCTCAATCTCTCTGAGTTTGGGTTTCTTTATCTGGAAAAAAAAAATGGAGGATAACACTAGAACTGATTTACCCAGGGATAACAACCGTGCATACCTCCCAAAGTTGTCCAGAGGATGGGGTGTGGTGAGGAGCACAGGGCAGGGAGCCCACTCTTTCCTGCCATGCCTGTCCAGCAGGCTGCCACTGTCCCTCCCAGCAGGGCGGGCACTCACACAGCTCTGGGCTCTTGTGTATGGAGGTATGATCTCCCACCCAGCCTCCTCTAGGAAAGGGGAGGGGTGTGAAAGGAAGGAGGTAGAACGTAAGATCACAGATAAGCGCTGCAGGTGAAGCATGGATGGTCTCAAGACCTGTGGACAGACAAAAGGATTTAAATGCACTTACGGGGAGATGAGACCCATGCAGGCTGGGCCGGCACAGGGCAGAGTCGGGCAGGAGCAGTGAGCCCAGGGCGAATCCCAGACCCCATGGCCAGTGGGGAGACAGTCCCTTCTGGCTGGGAATGATGCACCTGTCCCCCTCCATCTTCAGAGGGCCGGCGAGGCGGGGAGGCACCCAGTGGGCATCTTGACAGACCTGCTGGGATGGGCTCCACTGGGGAAACTTCAGAGGAGCAGCGTGTGACCGAAGGCTTGGCTTCCTTGAGTCACATTCTGCTTCAGAGGAGAGAGTTAGAGGCTCTGATTAAAATGAGAAGGGGCAGGGGGGGAAACCTTCCCAAAATAGAGACCCCCAATAGATTTTTTAATGAGCTAGAAGTACCATTGAAATGTCTCCTGCCTGATCTCCCCCGACCCCTTCCTTTCCCATCCCATCCGTGGTTCCCCAATACTGAATCCAGCACCGTGAGCTGCAGTGATGCTCTGTCCCCAGATCGCAGCATCCTTCCTTCCAGAGGCCCCGGCTACTGTTCACACGCCAGCCTGGTTTCAGAGGATGTCAGGAACTAGGAGTAGGTCAGGGGAGCGCAGCCATCAAGTGGAGAGACCTGGGGAAGAGGCGCCGTGTGGAAAGGGGGAGGAAATTGCAATTGTTTTGCCGGGGGAAGAAAGGGCTGCAGGGAGACAGGCTGCTACCGCAGGCCTATGAAAGGAACTCCCAACAGGCAGAAGGGGAACAGCCCCTGGCTGGCAAGAAGGAAAAGGAAGCAAGCGTACGAGACAAGACAGCCGCAGACAGGGCTGCCCGGGGCCGGAGCCACCGAGATGAAGGGGTCAGATAAAAAGAGGGGAAGTCGTGGGATTCAGCAGTGCCGGAAGAGCCCTGGGCAGTTTGGGCCAACTGCTGCTGTCCTTGTCCTGGGCAGGAGGGGTACCACAAAGGAGACAGGTGCTGAGAGGCTCGGGGCTGCATCACGTTCTAGTTAGGTGCCCTCAGAGGTATTGAGTGATTAATTAGCTGGATACTAGAACTTGGGCTTGCGTGTTCTAGGGCCCTGCTGCTGGGAGTGGCTATTGCATCACCCAGGAGACTGCTAGGTGCTGGGTGCTCACCCGGGAGCTTGCTAGGTGCTAGACCACTGGATGCTTCCCTGCCACAGTGCAGAATTGCAGGCCCCACCCCAGACCTCCTGAGTCAGAATCTGCATTCTAACAAAACCCCTGAATGATCCTATTCACATTAAAACACCAGAAGTACTGAGTTAGCAGGGAAAAAAAACCTCAGGCAGTTTGCTCAGAAACTAGCCAACGGGCATAAGGAATCGGTGTTCTGGGTGGAGCTGTGGCTTGGCTGGTGGCCAGGCAGCCCTGTCCCTCAGTACTTCCTCTTCTTCTCCAGATGCCCCGATGCATCCCACGGGGTTCTCCTAGGGCCACCATGAACCCCTGGGGCAAGTAGAAACGTCAGAAGGGCATACTCTGGGGCTGCCTCGAGGTTCTAGTGGGAGGAAACCCAGAAAAGGCTGCGTTGCTCCTGGAGGAGGAGGCTGAGTCCAGAGCACAGGACGGCAGGGGCAGCCAGGGCAGCACCAGGTGGCAGGCTGTGCCCAGCCATGGAGGGGACATCGAGGGTCCGGGAAAGCTTTAGAGCGAAGGGCTGGGAGAGGGCTCAGAAGGGACCCATGGTCCAGAATTCCTTCCACCATTGTTTTCATTTTAGGACACGTTGAGGGTGAGAATCTGGATTTATAGATTTAGGAGGGTTTTTTTTTCCTTCTTAATGGAAGAAGCATGTTCCTGTTTGAGCTCACAGCAGTCTGGCTGCTAATAAAAGGCAGGCATCCAGGGGCCAGGGTTCTGATTGCAGCCACATGGAGCAGAAGGGGGTGGGGGAGGAAGCTGTCGTCTGAGTCTGCAGACATGTGACATCTGAGATCCGAGGTGGCAGGGGTGCAGGGAAACATCAGGGAGGGGGCATGGGGGCTCAGGCGGCAGGGGCAGAGGGAGGGTATGGGAGCCCGGCGTGCCAGGCCGCCTAGTCCACCCGCGCCCCGTGGCACCCACCCCACCCCACCCCACTGTGGCCGCGTCCCCCCGCCCAGCATCCTGCACAGCCCCATCCACGTAGACAGAGTCCTCTCTGAGAACAGCAAGGAAAGAGAAGCCTTGGGAAAGAGCCCAGAACTTTTTAAAGGAAAAAAAATACAGCTTGGTGCTTTAAGAAGAGCCTGACTTTTTCTGACTAGTTCCAGAAGGAGACTTTGAGGCCCTGGGCCAGGGTGACCACTTTCCCTTAACACAAGTTTGTGGGTTCAGAGCCAGGAAGGGATCTCAAGTGGTTTGAACCTGCACCTTTTTATTTTTAAAGAGCCCATTAAGCTTCTTATAGATTCTCCAACCTCCAGTCAGCCCAAGACCGTCACAAAAATCGAAGCTTATGAAATCTCTTGAGCAAGGAGCCAGATTCGCATGAGTGCGTGTACATTGAGAGGGAGTGACCGGGAGGATGGACCCACACACGTGGAAGGGGAGGGTTCAGAGGGCAACGGGCTGGGTGTGCTGCTGACACAGTGCCGTGTACGTGGGAGAGAGAGCGAGTGGGGGTGTGTGTGGTGGTCTGAGGATGCCCCTGGGACTCAGCTCTTCCTGCTGCCCTCCCCCACGCGCCTCTGCTCCCCCTTCCCCAGGTGCTGAGCTGTGTCAACCCAGACAATGCCAACAGCCCCGAGGTCCCAGTAAAGATCCTCAACTGCGACACCATTACTCAGGTCAAGGAGAAGATTCTGGATGCCATCTTCAAGAATGTGCCCTGCTCCCACCGGCCCAAGGCTGCAGACATGGACCTGGGTGAGTAGGCTGCCCACCCAGGACTGTCCTGGGACTGGTCAAAAGCACCTCCTACAGACCAGGGGGGCCAGGAGGCAGGGGGCAGGCACCCCTCCGTGTCTGCTCAGTGAGTAATAGGCCCACAGGGGACTGCCACCTGCTGGCAGCCCCACTGCCTCTGGTGTCCCATTGGCAGTGAAGGGGACGCAAGCTGAGTCTGTGTGGTCCAAGCTCCTGCCACCACCGTCATTAGCCCCCCCCCCCCCCCCCCCC